CGATTAATCAATTAAGGTGAAAATAAAAAGACAACAAAAAGTGGAAATCAGGCCTTTCAGTATAGATTTTCTTCCCTGAAATATAAATATAAAATTAGATGCTTCATTACTCTGCAGCGTTTTTGTATGACGTTTATTTTTTCTTGGCTCCAACAATTGATAAGGTCACTAATTTCAATATTTCTTGCAACATCAGCTGCCGTTTTTTGTTCATTATCTTTCAGATCAGTTAATATGCCATAGTTTAACAGCTGTCTGAAACAAATGCCCATCACTTCACTAAAAATTTCCATTACAGCAATCACTTATTCGGATGCAAAAAACCTGCTGGATTCCTGGGAAATAGGGAAAAGTAACTATGAATATGTTTTTTCTTTTCCCTTACTATTTCAAACTAATAGCTTCAGAAATCTGGTATAAGAAAATAGACTTATATATAAAAGAAGTTTTTATGGAAAAATAAAAAATGTAACAACTGTCTCACTTGCACAAATCAAAATCCCCTTTTTCGGCTGCAATATGGAGTGCTGTCTTACCACAGCTACTTGGTTTACTAATATTAACACCATGACTTATGAGTACTTCCAATACATCGTATGAACATAGTTTTGTTGCAATATGTAGCGCAGAAAAACCGCTGAAGGTTAAACACTCAATAATTTATATCTTGATAATAGTTACATGACCTTATTTCACCAATGTGTGTTTGAAAGAAAAATCCAAAACAATTTAAAAGGTTGGCTAATACACAGTATCCTACCAACAAAAAAAATCCTTTATCTAAAACTTACTCTTTGTTCAAGACATCCGTAGGACAACCGTTTTTCAAAAGTATTTCAGCAATTACTTTTCTTCTCTGATGAGCTGAGCCTGCAACTGCATGTAGTGGAGTCTCGTTCAGACAAGGATGCACATAATTAGGATCTCGTTCGGCTAGTAGGCTCTTTAACTAAAATAAACCAACTTGTGTGCAAATCAAAAAACCAATTTTAATAAACCATATACTATCCGGAACTACAAAGCCCAATGATTGTGACCGAAAAAATCTTTCTTACAGCAGGACTTCAACATCTAAAATTTTTTTTATGTCTACAATTCGTCACGATGTTAATTTCAAGAAGCATTTTTTCACATGATTAAAAATTTACAAACCATAAGAATATCACCAATTTGTGCTGCTGCATAAATTTTATAACCAGCATATTCATGAAGTATATCTTTCTTAACATCCTCATCAGTTATATATTCAATAGGTGCCTTTGCATTGCCAGTTTTACGTGTTGGATCAGCTCCACTAGCTGCTAGTAATCTCACCACCTTGGAATAATCGAAATTTGAATTTTTAACACTCAGACAATTTGAAAAACCAAAATTCGAAGGGCAACTATACAATATTTGCTATGTCTAGGATTTAAGCATAAACAAACCTCTAGACGTCCTTTGCTTGCAGATTCATGAACCGGTGTGAAATTCCACAAATCTTCAGCCTGTGAATCAGCACCTGCTTCCAGCAATAAATTGACCACTTCCAAATGTCCAAATGAAGACGCATTATGGAGTGGTACTAAGCCTCTAAAATAAATATCAACTTTATTCAAAGATACGAATTTCTGAAGAAGAAATGGAGTACTATTTAATAATGATGAAATTATAATATCAAATCAAAACCTTAAAAAACTTCATAAGCAGCGTATTGTTAAGACGCACAAACAGGGAATTTTATATACTTCTTAAACATAGCTTACCCAATATCTACAGCCTGAACATCAGCACCTTTTTCTAGCAAGATTTTAACTGTTCTTACTCGATTATAACCGCAAGCCAAATGCAACGGTGTTGACTGCAAGAAATGCAATACCTCGGTAAATGTGAAATTAAATTTGACTTTGCAATAAAAAAACACCAATTTTAAACTAAAATTTCGCACAGATTTTTTTTTTTTCGAGCAGATTCTATTAAATTTCAAAAAAACTTAGACTCTAAATTGTATTTTTTCAAGAAAACACCAAAGAAGTTTCTTTGCAGTTATTTCTTCATTAATAATCAGCTCTAACCTTTCTACCAGTAACTGCATGACAGTTAATATTAAAGGGCGTTAAACAACAGAGTAAGCTTTCCTCATCTCCATTCTTTGCTGCTTCTAATAATTCGTCTTTTCTATAGTCACCTGCAAGTAGTAGAAACAAGCCTGTTTCCAAATCTTTCCATCTTCACATTTCTTAAATTTACAAGTTTCTTCAACACAACTGCACAAATTACAACATCTAACCTGTAAAAACTGCTTTAGCATCGCCATCTGCTAAATCTCGCGGTGTCTTACCATCTGAATTTTCGCTCCGCGCTGAAGCACCATGTTGCAGCAAAAGGACGCAAACATCAGCCTGATAATGAATTTCGAAGTTGTTTATTTTCGTTATACCTTATCACAAAAAAAAAAAAAAAAACTGCACAGTGTTCCAATTTTTTCCAGAAAAAAAAAAAAAAAAAAGGGACTGAAATGTAAAATTGATGAAATGTTGTATTATATTTAAAGCTTATTAATAAGAAAAAACATTAAACTTTAATAGAACACTACCTCATATATATGCAACATTAACTGATATTATATTTCAATATACTACCTGATATTAAACATCAATACATAACATTAAACTATATAAAATTATCTAATATCAGCTTTAATACATAATACTATCTGAATAGTTCTATTCCACAATTTATTAAGGAAACATACTTTTCCCCATATAGCTGCTTCATGAAGTGGTGTAAAGCCCCAATGATCGCTAACATTTGTGTCAGCACCATTTTCTAGCAAAATTTTCACCACTTCAACATGGCCAAATGAGGATGCATTATGTAATGGAACCAAACCACTATCATCAGCCTGGCTTATGTTTGCACCAGCTGCAAGTAACGCTCGAACACAGTCTACCTTCCCAAAACCGGCTGCATAATGTAACGGCGATGAGTTGCGGTTGTTCAGATCAGGCTGAGAAAATCAGGTCACAAAAAAGATGAAATATTCCAAAAGTTACATTATATTTAAAAATGTTTTTTATTATATTTAAATAGCGGAAAACAAAACAATAACTATCTTGCTATAAAAGATTTATTTTCCACTTGTTTGATTTTCAAGTTTATCAAACAAAATTGAAATGACCTGTTACCGCTAGCTAATGAATAATGCATCTCTGGTAATTTTATGATTGCTTTTCCAGGCACTCTATTATTTCATCCAAAAAAAAAAAAAAAAAAAAAACCATGTTTAATAAAACTACTTCATACATGCATCACTTTAAGCGCCGAACTATTTCTATTACTCCTATTACTGTAAGCATTTTAGGATCACTAGTACAAACAAGAACAACTAATGTACCTGATTTACTGTTTCAGGTTTAAGCAATTGTAGTAAGATTGACAAGTCACCTTGTTTGCATGATTCAAACAGTTTCAAGCATTTTTCTTCATGATGTCGATCTGGAACAGCTAAAGATCGTAACGCGGAAAATACGGAAGGAAGTATTAGCAGAACTTCCAGCTTTAGATGCGTTTATTATTGATACGAACGGCTACTACTTATTCATGGATTTCTCAATCTGCCACGATCCAAACTTTTGGTGACCAGACACTTGGGTACCAATTTACCATATTCTAGCGATTTTTTTTTTTTTTTGAAATTCCACACTAGAAAAACTTCTAAAATTTCACATTAGAAGAATGGCCTAGTCTGATATTCCATGCTTCACATTCCTTGATTAGTTAATTCTAAAAGAACTTGAGTATATGATATTTAAGCTGCGTAATGTATATTTAACAACAAACAATGTTGTGGAAACAATGTTACCCAGGTAGTTATTGTTCTTCGTGACTGTCGGAACTTGTGTGTACTGACGCTGTTGCTCTGCTCGTTTGGGTGTCATACAATAAACTTTAATACTCCCTTTAAATCCATGATAAATCAAAATGCTTCAAAATGCTTGACGGGAAAACCAGAAAGCAGCCAAATGCTATTCACGACTCCTAGTCTTAAAAACGTGGCTGTGTTAAAAACAGCCGAGTTCAAATGTATGTTTTCTTGGCAGAAGATGGGAGTTGGGATTGAGTTTTTGATTGAAGTCAGGTTCGGGACTGTATAATACTTACACGCGAACTCAGAAGTCATAAGTGGCCAGTGAGAATTACTTTTCCGGATATATCAGATTTCGGATCTACTATCGAGTTTTATACAACTTATGCATTGCCACAATTAAGACTGGATTTGAATATATGTTTCATATTTTGCCTGCCATTTATTCATTTTATATAAAGGTAATCATAATAAACACAATTAGAGATAAATTGAAGATCCCCACGTGGTAGTTCTCTCCTTCGAGTTTTAGCAGTATTAAACAGGTATAAAAAAGAAATTTGAGTTTTGGAGTTAAACTCCAATTTCCGAAATCCCAGTAGAAAAGGAATACAGATATGGGTATTCCTACCAGACTAGAATTCTGTGAAAATGTCCACTTTTTAAAGCCCCCGACAATAATGCCACTCCTCGACGCTTCCTACCTCGTTTGCTTCCTTTTTGCTCCAATCTAGTCTTGTATCAATTCAGGTTTAACGCTACAGTTCCGTTCCCTAGGTTTCTATACGTAGATTTGTTAATCGACCGAATGGCAGTGAATATAAGCTGGTTCATTTATTTTCAATACAATAATCTGTCATTGGATACTACTTTTATGAAGTGGAGATTTTTTATGTAGTTGAATTCAAATATAGTTGCAAATACAATTGTAATGGTATTAATGAAGCGCTATAATAGTGCCCGTAGTATAAATGAGGATTATGGGCGCTATTATACCTATATTCTTTCATGATCACAAATACATCTAAAGTAGATGAATCATTCCATTGTGAAAGTTTTCATTGTAGAAGTATCATTTATGCAAATTATGGACAATGAAAATCAATTATGCATCCAGTACAGTGCGATTTAATGTGCTTCTCAACCAATTAAAATGGTATAAAAAAATCATAGAAATCATCTGAAGATTTCAAGCAAACCGAGAACTTACATCACATTTAATGATGAAACTTAAGTGGTCTAAAAATGATTGGGGCTCTCAATTTGATGCTGCCTCCGCTGTTGTGAAGTATTAGTATGAAGAGACTTTGTAGGAATGTCCATTATAGATCATGTAAAGTAGACTGTTCATTCACAACTTGAGTAAAGCATCATGCAAAATGACATAAGGAGAAACAGGGATTCGCTTAGAGAGATTTTAAAATCACTTTTTTCTAATTTTTTATGAGTTCGAATCATCAAACCAGTATTGTCAGTGGAATGAACAACGTTTCGTCTATTGACTGATCTGGTTAATTTTAAGGCCATTTCAGAAATATCGTATCTGCAACTGTCTGATAAATATTGGGGATCTGACCGAAGTCGAATCTAATCATTCCTGTTCTTTTCGAATGATATTACCAAAGGTCTATCAATTTTCCTTCAAACAATACTCAAGATGTTTCTTGCATGGGTCTTACGAACTGTATCGTTTTATGATCCTTTCGTCAGCGAATTCCTTATCAACCTAATCAACATGAAGACTGTAATTCCAAGAGAAATTGACTGAATCCAGATTAATAACCCTTAATTTCAATGACAAATCAGCCGTCCTTTCTGTCAGGTTAGAGACTCTTCACACGAGTTCCAAGCGTCTTTTTTAAGCCACTTCACAGCTGGCACATTTTAAATAACTTTAAAAGTGCAGCAAATTTCGACACAAACACTCCCTGTGTCAATTGTGAAGAAAAGAAAAATAGAATTATATGAAATAAAATGTTTATTAAACTACAGCAATATTGATGCGTAAATGAAGGGAAGGAAACGCATATAAGAAAATAACGGAATTAATGCAGTGTGCATTCTTTCAAATTTAATCATACACTGAAATCCAAGTAAGTAAAATAACCTACAATAAAAAGTTAAAAATATAATTTATACGAGAAAACACCCAACCACAATAACCGTTATGCATGACAATCTGTCTCTACAAGCACGTTACTACAACAAACCCCATCTTATTAGCGTTTATATCTATTTTTCAACATATTGAGACCATCCTAAACAAAGAAAAACGATACATGATTACTTCTCCGAGGACTTATCACTGCCAAAGGTATGATTGAAAATTACTGATCAAAACTGTACACAACTACTTTCTCCTGATTCTGCGACTATGCAAACCATAACCAATACTGTTATCAACACTAGCTGCGCGCATCAAAAAACAAAAACATGTTACAATTCGTGACTTTTATTTTTTATCGTTTCCTAAGCAACTGAATTCTTCTGTGTTAAACAGGAACCTTCACAGTGAAATATTAAAAACACTTCAGTTCAACTCCCTCATTCTTTTTTTAATAATGCTAGATGAACAATTTAAAAATTGAATTATTTAAGGGCATCGACTGTAGTTAAGCATCAACACCTCGGTTTCCCATTAAACACTAAATTTCAGGATTATCCTGAACATTCTCGCCCACTTCTGATTTTTGCAAATTCAGAAGTAAATAACTAAATGGATAAAATGCATATCTTAAATCTAAACAGGAAATTTATAAACAACTATAATGATAATATTTGGTGTTCGATTATCAGATAAATCATCAGATAAAATATTACATGTGAAGAAAAAAACTGAAATTCTGCAGTTAGAGATTTGCTATGAAATCACAGAATATCACATTTGCTCTTTTTCTTCTTCTTTTGCTGCAGCGCTGCTTGCGTGGCTTTCTCAAATACTTCGCGGATACCCTAAACAAAAGCCTCCAAAAAAATTGTTTTAAAATAAAATGTTCCATTTTCTTGATTAGCATTTCATTTTCATGATCAGCATTTCTACATTCGAGTTTGATTGCAAATTTATACATCTTAATAAATCTACTTCCAATTCTATCACTCCTGTTATTTTAACACAGTTTTCGCACGCATTCTTAATTGTTCGTTCTTCTAAAATTGGAACAAGTATCTTTCTGGTGAATATGTTTTTCAAAAGCTTCTAGACAATTTACAAACAAATGAATAACTAACAAATGCTTAACTGTTTGGTACAACAGAAAATTATTCCTTTAGAATAATAAATGTACAATAATTGTACACTTATTTTCCAAATTTTCCTTACTGCTGTTCTAATCATTAAAAAAAAATTAACCCACTCCAAGACTTTACTTATTGTGTAGTGTGACCCAACTTTTTGATATCTTATTTTTAAATTATTCAAAATTTGTAACTATTAAACAAATTCCCAATGTTATGTCATTATCCCCTTCTTCGAAGATAGCAAAAACATCTTTGAATCCAACTAAACTTACATCCTTTGCTTTGGCAGAGCATTCCAAATATGCGAAAGCCCCTATTTGCTCAGCGATAGCACGTCCTTGCTCCGGTCTTACCGGTTCTTGTTTCATTTTTGCCAATTCACGAATAGTCTGCTGATCGTTTCGAAGGTCTTTCTTGTTACCAACCAAAATTATTGGAACATTTGGACAAAAATGTCGCACCTGAATTTATTAGTCAGAAAAAGAACAAAGCATTGCATTCTTATTTCTCGTTCCTATTACGAGTTGCATTATCAAAGAATAAAAAGCAATGAACTGAACCAGCAAAGTCCTAAAGTTCAGAAGAAACAAAATACTAGAAAATTAGGGAAGGATTCATAGAAAACCAACTTATATTTATATTATAATGTGAAATCTTATGTTCCATATAAGTGAAATGGATATTTATGAAAACTTGGAGCTGACCTCAGGAGTCCACTTTTCGGGAATATTTTCAAGCGAATCAGGCGAATCGATACTAAAGCACATTAGAATAACATCAGTATCCGGATAACTGAGTGGGCGTAATCGATCATAATCCTCTTGACCAGCCGTATCCCACAAAGCTAGTTCTACCTACAAGAAAAATAAACAGAAATAAGAAATACTGCACTTTCTTTTCCGCATCCATTATTTTTAAAGTCTTTTTATTAACAATTTAAGTGATGTCAAATATTTTTACCAATGACAGTCACTTACTAGTAAGTCTCCCAATAATAATTCAGCCATAAAGTGAACATACAGCTTAAAATCATAACTTTATTCCGTTTAGAATAACAAAATTATAATAAGCTTATTTGACAAACACCTCAATATCAACACTGAGAAATTAAGAAGAAAAAAAAACGTCTTAATGGTTCGTTTTTTTCTCTCTAAGCAAAGCTGCCACACTGAGTTTAAAAAATCCACAAAATCAAGATGGGACTTCAGATTAGATACTAATAAGTTCCTATAGAAAATATTTATAATTAAGGATATGAGTTACTGATCATTTACAATCTATTATTACATTATGATGAAAACCTGAAGGAAAAACACCGAACAGATTACCTGCTTGCCATCAACTTCTATATCTGCAACATAATTTTCAAAAACCGTTGGCACATAGACATCAGGAAATTGATCTTTACTAAATACAATCAACAAGCATGTTTTGCCTGGAAAAAAAATGCTTTTTCATAAAATTTTTAACTTTAAACGAAATGTCCTTCTCTTTATCAAAATCAAAATAATTAATAGCTTGAAGCAGGAAAGACAATATATGAAGGCTCCGTCATTTTATCTTGTAGCTTTTTCATTGATAAAACGATTTCGTTATATATATTTAGTATGGAAAAAAAAAATGAAGCAACAAATCACTAACCACAAGCACCATCACCAACAATAACCAATTTCTTCCGGATAGCTGCCATATGCGTAATGCCAGTGAGAGGCAAATAATATTCTTTCAAGAAATCCTATGAATCTTTTCTAGTATTCATTTCTAACATAAAAATAGTGAGTCCAGAAATCGCAACAGTAGCACAGATACTTTTAACTCATTTCTTCCTTTTACTGAATTACCAAATATGATTTCTTTCACCCTAGACGAACACCAGATTTCTTTTTTCTTATAGAGCTACCTTTCCATTAAAGAGGAAGAAAATGTCCAAGCGGGTTATTTTTAGGAAAACAGGATGCTGTTTCATTTACAATCCGTTGGCTAATTTTTAGGAAGATAGGATGTCACTGCTTCACGATCTGTCGCTGGCTAACTATTGAAAGCAGCATTATTTCAGGCACTTCGACTGCTCAGATGCACGAAAACTTTGAAAACACAAATAAAGTGATATACTAACCAAACTTTGTTCCGGGTTTGGTCATTGAGGAGGCAGATATGTTTATGCAAAAAGGAACTACTGAAAGTGTGTTCAAAAGATGTGTAAAGTGTTGATTCTAGGATATACTTCTCTGAAGTTATTGTTAATTTTTGAATATATTTCTATTACGGAAATAAAAAATATGGCTCGTGGGTAACACAGACCTACAAAACAAGAAAATACTCACATAAAATGTTCAATTTGGCCTTTACGTCATAAATGCAAAGGTCCGCTTGTGAGTGTTAAACAAACAGAAATGGTAGAATTTAGAAGTGACGGGGTACAACCGTCAGAAAAGATGAAAACTTCGCTGAGAAGTGAAAGGAGCTATTGCCGCGGTGGTATTGCCGGCGATAAAAATTAATGCTATTTGAAAAAGAATTGTTAAGGAAATATCCGACGTAAACATATAACCAAAAGCTTCAGCTTAAGGTAAGAAAACAATCCCATTTGTGAGGAAATTTAATGATAACTGATAATGATGACAGTTTCGAACAATCGACAAGATTTTTGATATTGTTTCGAGAATAACTGTTAACGATTCTTTCTCGACAGCTCCATCCCGCTCACCCACTTCTAATCTTCATTTGATTAGTCGTGAATAAGCGCTTTTTAGATGTCTAAGGCTGAAAGACCCTTCATTAAACAATTATTGAAAATTTCCTGTGAACAGAAAACTACTTAAAGAATTGACTACGGTTTTTAGCTTTTCTACTACTATCTGATGATGCCTTCGACTAATAACTGGAAAGAATCGATTCACATTTGGAAGAAATCTATTGGACACGGTTTCAATCTTATCAATGGTAATTTTTTTATCAAGCGTTCCACGATTCGCTCTACCAACGGAGCAGAGTAATAACTTGTTAAATTTCAAAGTAATAGAGCATTCAGTGGTGAAATAATAAAAAAGAAAAAGAGTAGAGTAACTAAGTCCAAGTTCACCAACGTAGATGACAACATCGTTGTTTAGATATTATACACACCAGTTTTACGTCGATCGAAGTGAATTTTTAAAGTGCGAGAAATTGCAAACGATCAAACTGAGAGTCCAATATTTCGGTACAGAATACTGCCGGAAAATTCTTTCATGAAAACGCAACAGTATGAATGAAATTGAGGAGAGGAGGAATGATGGGAACACTGACAGGTTCCAAAAAGATTTTTTATTAAAAGCTGAACAACGCCTATGTCCTTATTTTATAAAATTGTAGAAAAAAAGAAACCTTAAAATTTTGACAAGAACGGTTTCGATATCACTAAGCAACGACAGCCAAGGGCTGGAAACAAGGAATCAATTATCTGTTGAAAAGTTCTGAAGCTTTCAGTTGAACTTGGATAGTATTTCATTGGATTTTTCAGAAAATGCTCTAGGAATGAGAAATTATGGATGAGTAGAAACACTATGCATCAGGCGCTAAAAAGGTACCCCATGTGGAAGTGCAGGTGAATGTTGGTGTACTTTGAGCGCTTCAGTAAGACCAGCAAAGATCTGCATTCATTACAACGATCGGAGCAATTTCTCATGACGAGTGGCTGAATTTGAAAATGCTATTGCGCTGAATCTATCGATTCAATTCCTATTGCAAAATAGAAGCATAAAAGACAATACGTTCCCCACAAGAAACAAATAGAGCGTTTAAAGGAAGGTCATAATTTGCAAAAAGTGCATTTAAGTTTACTCTATAGCCTTTGCAAAGCTAAGACAATACTTTGGTCTTTATATGACTCGAGAACTGGAGCAGCAATATTGGCCGGATCATTGGGAAGAAACGACTACACAGAGGAATCAATCTAGATTTTTAGCATTGTCTTCCTTTCCGATTTTGCTTAGTTATACATGATGTACATACAATATTTAAAACGTTTAAGAAGAAACATCCTCTACCTTCATATAAAATAGGGAATTATAAAGCAGTGTAATGTCTCAGATATTTATCTATACCATCTTGAAATAAGATAGTTACCATGCATCCGGAATCAGAGAGGTACTCCCGATTTGAATCACAGAAGGCAAGAATACTATAAAACTGGAATAAAGGGAAATATGGTGCCATTAACATAGATAATAATGTCCTAGCTCAACAAAATTGAGCTACTCTCTGTCTTCGCTTTACCAATATGTTCCATTCCAGGTTCCTACTCTCAAAGACAATTTACATAAATTATAAGACGTACTATACTAATATTCTTCAAGCATTAACTGCTGCACGCAGAATATTACAAATCCCAGAACAGAACCCCGAGACCGCTCACTATACACACCCCCTCCATCAGACAACACCAACTCCACTTCCACATTTCGCTTAATCATCACATAACGTTAACGCGCTCCACGTGGAGTCATGATGTGCAACAATAACATCTCATTTAACCAATCTGGCATTTTTTCTCGAAGTAAATGAAGTGTTTCACCCTGGTAGGCTTGTCATGATCCCTCGATTATAATCATGTCATAGCTATAGCTGAGATAACATTCTGTTCTGAGATGTGTTTAGAAATACGATGCTCATTTTATTCTGTTTTTTATAGTTTTTATGGATATATCGGACAATGTTTTTTTCTTTCTTCTTATTGAGGATGCAACTGCGACTGCTCGGTAGGTCGTATTTCGGCTTCGAGTGTCAGAATTTCCATGGGTAGTAAATTTACTGACAACTCTGAAACATATTTCATTCCTTCTCCTAATTTTCCTTTTCCAACGACCAGAATTCTGATTTCATAAAAATGAAAGCTTTTCGCAAAGCTCACTTCGTTTCTACTATGTTAGCTTGATCCCTGGGATGATTAATTGATTAATCTATAATCACCATCCGCTGATTACCTCCCTAATATATTGTCGCTTCACCTCATACAATCAAGGTGTCTCTACGGATGTAAGTGAAAAAGTGAAAAACGAAGTTGGTTGATATGTTGAAGGGCGAAAATATCCTTTGCGGAAGAAAAAACGAAGTCAGCCGGCAGAATCTGTTTCTTTTCAGAAATTTGTATATCGAATAAGAGAAAAAAACCTTTCTGGAAGACTCTTGAAGAAATCTGATTCAGTCTAAATCGATTATTTCGTTCAAACTTTGTAAAAGTTCTTTTTTTCATCGTTGCAAGATTGAGTTCCTCCATCGAGATAATATCGAATGCGGTAAATAAGCCCTGTGATGATAGCAAGTTGACATTATTCAATTAAAATGAAAGAAGAAACGCGAACATATTAATAGAATTTTCGGATAAATCGATAAAAAAAACAACTGAATGGAAAACTGTGATAGCTGGAGTAGGATTGAAGAGTTCCGTTTTTCCGTACTCTATGTGCAGTCATGCATAACGGATTCCGTTGAAAACATCATTATGGAGGCATTAAAATTTCATGAATTATAGACAGAAGCAATAGATTTTGATTACATTACTTTTATTTTTTCATTTGTAACAGAGGAAAAATATTTACTTTCAAGTTAAATTCGATGGGTTGCGCTAAATTTTTATCGTCATCACCTTGAAAAATGTGCTCAAAACGAATGATTATACGTTTTGGAGCTAGCATTTCCATGGTCAAAACATTGATAGCCAGTGGAAGCGGCCGATTTAGAGCAGAATACTGGAAATTAAAACTGTTGTGGTCTGGAACGGATTTACTTTATCTGTTTCATTTCAGCGTTTGTTAATATCCTAACTTCATAAGTCAAAAATTAGTAGAAGTTGAAGAAAAAGATAATTTCGTCCTAACTTAGTATTAGCTCTTTGTCAAACAACCTCAGCAATAAATGCTCGACCGTAATCCCACGGTGCCATTTTGCGCTCTGCAAACGTAATTAACGGCGAATTATAAAGTTCAAAGGCAAGTGGCCTGTGGAGTTTTGACGAATTTTCCGGACTTTCCATTATGATCCAATGTCGTCCTCGAACAACCAATCCTTGTCCAGTGTCACCTAACTCATCCAATGTTTCACCGACACCGAAATTGTCATCATAAAATAGTCTACGATGGAGCTGAAAACAAATTTTCGACTCGTCTTGATATTTTGTTGCTGAAAATTTTAATTTAGTCATATGTACTTAAAATTCAACAGATGGACATAAGATAAATTTGTACAAAGAAAATCTATATATCTATATATATATAGATATATATATATTACCATTAATTCAATTTGACCATCATTTAGACTGGTACCACCATGAGAGCGGTCCGTCAGTACGGTTAATTGATTTAGCGAATCTCGAATATAAATACGACTGTTTACAGGATAATAGTTTCCCGCTACTGGTTCCGTATTGGTGTACGAGAATGATGGATAGTGGTTTCTGCTAAAAGTGATTCAGACATTTTTGCTATCCATAAAAGTACGGAAATTGTGGAACGATGATAAGGTAAGTTGTGAGAACACTCTAGGCCACAATTGCGTATCATCTCTTTTTTTTGATCAAATTAAAAAAGTAAAAATAGGAACTATAAGCATGCAAATTATCAAAATGAATCCTCATTATAAAAGCATACTCACGTCCTTGTCATCATTTGCCTTCCATTTGAATCGGTATAAAATACTCCAGCCGAATTTATTTCTGCTGTGTATCGTGTAATTATTTCCTTTGTTATTGGATTTCTAAATTAGTAATAGAGGGCGAGCAAGTTTTAAATTTCCAGTAAAAATTTAAAAATCTAAGTCGAAGTTAATTAAATCATAATCTTTGTGTTCCTTCGAAATTGTCTTCTTGTATATCTTCTTCTTTAAAGGTGAAAAAATATTCACATTTGTTTTTAATAAAAATCGAATATGCAGACTTGATCTCTTTTGGAATCGGTCCAATAGTCCATTCAAATTCCACTAAATTTTTGCCGCGATACAAGCGAATCACTTGACTGATCCATGGAGCAATGATCTGCCTTGCCTCATTCACCAATGAACCCTATAAATTAAGCGTATCCTCTATCGCCAATCTTTTGTTAACTTTTGTTATTCTCAGATTTAAATCCCCAGACAAACAACAAAGCCAGATACAAAAAAAGTAAAACGTATCTCAATATATTGCGCTGTTGTAACATTTGATATCTTCTCGGCCTGTGTACCGTTCGGTCGGAAAATGTAAGCGCCTGATGACTGATTCTTATAGTTTGAGAAACCCATTCCTTTATAGACAAGAAATTCCTGCTTGAATGCAATGGTTTTCTCAGTTTTTCGGTTTTTCAGTGATGTCAACTGTCCACTACCATCAAATGTCAGCTCAATGTACTAAAATTTATATTTAGACCATGATGCTATTCACATATTTTAACTTGGGCCTAATTCACAGCTGGAAATTAAACAGTAACGTTATAATTTATGCAGAAAAAACTCATGAGATTCTTTTTATACCTGAAAAGATTTTAGAATTTAGCTTTTATTTCTTAATCGCCGGAGACTGTAAAAAACAAATTTGTAATCACTTGATTTTTAGATTTGTTCTATGTTACTTATTCATTTTATTTTTTGCTAATCTCCTAATTAATTATATAGAATTTAGCATATATGAAAGCATTGCCTCATTTCTCATTATGGTTGTTTTGACTTCTTCAAGTTCTTTTTTGTTTTCTGTTTGTACTGAGCGATGCCTCCCATATTCCACCATTTTTATCGCTCTAAAATATATAATCCGCAAGAATGAAAGTCAAATAATATTGCAGTTTTTAGAGCTATCTCATTTCCAAATTATTTTCAGTTCTAATCAGATAAGAGAAACGACACAAACGTTTGATTAGAAAGAAAAAACGTTGTGAAACCAAGTGCTGGTACGTTTGCAGGAATAAGCAGTTCATAAGGAGCGCTAAATGATTTCTTGAGTTGTGCGCCATTGTAAAATGCTTTATTTATCTGGAAATTGACGGAGTAAATCTTTTTATGAATTATGTTTTCAAAATTCGAACTTTTTCCTCCTTCAGTCATCGCCTGGAAGACTTTTATATGAAATTCTTCAGAGAAACAATCAATGATTGAACTACAATGCTAAACAAAACTAAAATTATGGTAAGTTTATTTTAGAAGAACACAACTGTTTTAGACATGCATCTGAACAGTCTCTGGAAGAATTAACACCGGAAAAGTTACGCGGACCTTCAGCAATACTCCGCATTTTGCATTTTGTACATTTATTTTCTAAATTTCGATTGCTTAACCAATCTTTCGGATGTTCGCTATCTACAAAAACTCAGACATTTATCCATAATGGGTTCGAATACAAAATTTTGTACTTTGTACTTGAGTGCAACAATCTTGCTTATAGTGATTTGCATTTTACATTCATAAGAACAAACCTGAGTATTAATTGGTTTTCCGTCGAACGACCAGACAGTAGCTGTTAGAGAATAGAACGGAATCCGTAATACTGTGTTCAGCGGATGAGAATTTGAATTATATACAGTAATAGTTTCGTTAGCGTACAGTCGGAAAAATTAAGAGGTCAAAGAAACAGAAGTTAAAATATTCTCAACATTATGATGAGTAATATGAATCTAATGCTAACAGAAGTTTTTGAGCCTCTCGAGACCATGCCTTAATGATATTTTAAACAATAATTGGTTGTTTTCTCTGTTAGCCTATATTGCAATACCCAATGATCAGTACTTTTTTCCATACAAAGCGGTGGATAAGTTGTAAAGCAAAAGATCTAAAAGCAATATCGAAGAAGAAACCTAGTTGCATTGCATACGGTTACGTTGATATCACGGCAAATAATTTGTTTTTCGGGAAGTATTCCGTGCAGTTTTGGGATTAATTTCATAGATACATTATTAATAATTGCCTAAAAGTGAAGAAAATGTGGTATATTACTAGCCATGTTCTTTCTCTCGAAAATACGAATATGCAAATTGGTATTGGATGTCTCTCATATTATTCTTGCTATTAATAACTTTTTCAGCGGAATTGTTTTTGTTAATCATTGCCTCGAAGTTCTTTTAATTTTTATGATAATGACAAGAAGATATTGAAATAAACAACTAATACTTCAGCTTCGTCCCAACCTCGAGAAAGGCGAAGTTTGTAATCCCTCGTGACATTTTCCCGTGCTGTGCCACTGAAATGAAAAATAATAATGAAATGAAAACAATAACCTTTTCATGAAGCTGAATTTACTTTCTGTAAGTACAAACTGCTGTGAAAGGAATTCAGATTAGCTGCGTAAAACTTCAAGATAAAAGCTCAGTTAAAAATATTGAAGATTTGCAGCTGCAAGAGATAAGGTTTGAAACTCTTTTTATTTCCTAATCATTCATTATATCCTCAAAATGTAAAAAGATCTAATCGAATCACGAAAATAAAAAGAAGCGAAAATATTACGTAACAGCATCGTGATGTTGCGCAAGTGCTACGGCATTTCTCAGTACGGTGGTGTTTGCCATTTGCATTGCAGCTGATTCAAGTTGCTTAACGAGCTGTAATAATGTGATTATCTGATGTATTTGTATTGTAAAGTAAATAATAAGTATATTTTAATCTTTTGCAAGTACATAAACGAATTACTTCTCCATCTCTTGCTATGTAAAAAGTAAGCAAATGTTCGGAAATTAAGAAAATTTTTCTTCTTTTTTTCAGTAACGAGAATCCGTATACACCTTATGCACACCTATTAACTTGAAAACTAAACAAGCAAATTCATACCTGTAAGAGTGCACTACTTTGTCGAATGAAGGCTTTAAATGTGGGCCTGCTGGTGAAGAAACCAGTCCAGTAGCTATGATCAGCGGATGCGTAAGGAAAAAAATCATCTAGTTTTTTCGGTAATTTTGGATGCGATTCTTTCAGTGCCCTCAGATAACAGGAAGGTGTCGAGTAAAAGATATTAATTTTTGCACTCAAAGTCTAAAAAGATGTTATTATAGTAAAATTCTTCATGATTCAAATATGACTGCTCGAATAAATGAAATGATTTTACAAGACATATACATATACTTTGTTTTGCTGAATAAGTGAGATGAGTTTGTCGAGATTGATATACCACTGATTTGCCGCTGTATATTGAAAATCGCCTCCCATAAGGAGCATTAAATGATTGGTTCGTTGATGAAATGCCTAAGATCGAAATGATCAAGAAAATTTTTTGATATAAAACAGACGCATTAATATTATAATGAAAGGAAACTGAAATAACTGAAACCAATTTTTTATTTTGAAATGTATGCGACAGCAAAGAAACCTGTCTTTTAACGTATTTGACGAATTCATCTATACGTTGGGCAGCATTGTATTCTTCCAAATAAGCATCATCCATGATTGGTTCATCCAAACATTCACGATCAAAACAGAATCCTTGTGGTGGTCCATAACTGTCTCCATAAAATGCACCTGTTAAGATGCTCGTTTCTGAAATATCCTTGAAATCGTTTAGACATCGCTGGTATGTTATATTCATCTGTTATATATAATACAATATAATTCATACTGAGATCATCGGAACTATCCCAAACAAATTCTAGGCTGGAATTTCGTACACGGATTTCTTTTTCTAAGAAATGAAGACGGGAAAAGAAAAGAGCTTCGAAATCCATCTGCAAAAAATCGATAAAAATTAATTATCATTTTGTTTTACCTAAACATTTTCTGTTCTTCCATATTTCTATTTTGCCTTCATCTTTCTTCCATTTCTCCAATCCCATTTTTTTTTTTGTGGCGTTGTTTTAGATGTTCTTCAAGCTTTTATACTTTTGTACTAAACATCTGTGTTTCTGGGTTCAAAAAAATATTCTATTGTTAAGAATCCTTAAGAAAATTTATTGTTAAGGATTCTAAAAAATACATCAAAGAAGATTAGTTATTACCAAGTTGAAATTCAAATTTGCAAAATTAATGAAAATTTTGATTTTCAACAAAAAAAGAACTAGCCAGTGCCAGCAAATTAGCCATTTCTCGACTGTGACCAAACGGGTCAATCTGCCATGCAACATATGAAACTCCACAGCTACCGAAATATTTCTTTAAAGTTCTTAAACCGAGTGTCATTTGATCAATAATATCAACATAATAAGCTGTGGCTTCATCGTTTTGCACCCAACCACCACCAATAAATTCGATTTGTCCTAAAATTTGTAATTTATTGTAGGAAACTCCGTCTGAGCTTTCCTGGCTCTTAACCTTTCACTCTCATTTATTTTACTGAACACACTTACCTTGCTGGACTAGTTTCTGCAATCGCTTCCTTTGTTTGGAATCAACAAGCCAACGCCATAGAAATGACGTCTCACACCAGGAAAAACGCTTACTTTTATCCTTTTCCAACTCGTCCATTACAGTACTAAGAATATATCGCACGCCAACTGCTGTCTTTTCTTTCTGAGCTGCAAAATGGCTTTTCATCTCTCCAGTTTATTTGTTTTTAATTTCAGGTCAATTTTCAGATGTTTGAAAATAATTTGAATTCGGTCCAATCAATCAATAACCCACATCCATAGTAATACTGGTCAATAGTTTTGATCCAGCCTGGATCGTCATGCGTATGACATATTAAATGGATATTCAATACATCCTTCTCTCTACTCCAGCCATTACATTTCTGCAATTCTAGCTCATTTTAGAATTTTCATTTAAAGTTTTAGTCACTTTAACTAATAATTTTAATAGTTATCGAAAACTTGCCGATGAAACTTACCATAATTCGCGAATGATAACAATACTCTAAAGTCTTTAAAGTCAATTGCATGCATTTTATTGAGTAATGTGCTTCTGATAGAAAATTCTTGCAACACTTATTGCTTTCCGCAAATTTTAAATATAAAATTTCACATACATCCCAACTGCATGAATCGACTTGGATATTTTGAGCATGAAAATATCTCAATAAATTCATTCGAAAAATCAACATAATAAACAGCATAAGCATCGATATCTCTTTCATAATTCTTCAACTATCGGATTATGAAAACAATTGGTAATAAAATTACTGATCTAAACAGTATACAGTACAATTATTTGCTTTCCTTTCATTTATAGAACGAAACAACGTGTGCACTATATCAGGTCTGTTTATTTTTCACTTCAAATAAGGTGCTTATAGTGAATTAACGATAAGTAACGCAACGCCTAAAATTTAACAATTAGACTTTTTTAGATAATTCTATATTATTAAGAAAATGTTAAAAATTCCATAAAAATGAAAAACGCGTGTAACTGGTAATAAATAAATAGAGTGAAGAAAAAATTTGTTGAAGGATAAGTAATATGAGAACATAGTAACTAGCAGGATGACTTAGTCTCACTCTTCGATTGCAAGTGGCACTTTGTTTATTTTTAGTTAAGAAATTAACAGATTCCTATTAAATGACATTAGCATTTTCAATTGCTGTCGGTATTTTAAGTTCACTTCGAGAATGGAAATAAATCGAATTTCTAATGGATTGTTTAGATTGAAAAGTGAAATATTTTACGTGCGTCATATCACGAAGGAAGTGATAATTTACGAACTGGTACTCCTACTGTTACACAAACTACCTGCCATTTCCAACTGAATCTCACTTTCCATTTGCAAATGCTAATTGTGTGAATGCTCAACTAATATATCGATTGAGGAAGGAAGATGGGAGTGAAGGTCAGCCGCTCAAAGGTTGTACTCTTGATCCCCAACTTAATCTCGTTAAAACATTCGTTAATCATTGTAGATCATAGAATTCATGTCTCGATACTTGTTTACTTGCCGGAAATTCTAATAGTAATATAGTAGATTCTAACAGTAATAGAATAAAAGAGGTTACTTCCACTAAATTCGATCATGTGTCTACGACAGGTTTACCAAATTTTAAGGGCTGTTGGCAAATTACCCGGGTGTAGTCACATCTCTAATCTTCTGAATCTGAACATCATTAAATCTAGAGTTAACAGCGAATAGAGGAGCATTTCGAATTCTTTCCCTTATCATTGTTATCATTAATACAAGTACCAATTTTCAAGGGAAAATGGCTGAAGGAAACTTATCGTTTCTTCAATCCTACCACATTACGAGACCAACTACACATAATAGAAAAGTCCAATTTAAAGCGATAAAAATTTCACGGACCTGTTTAACTATATGATGACCTGTTAACTTAAGTCTCATAACCGTGGTGATAATGTCCTGTCATCTCAGTTATACTTCTTGCTCTGTTTACGAATGGTATATAGTTATGAGAAGTCATTATTTTCAACAACTACACATCTCCCTCCTCTCCTTCTTCCTTACTTCCTTCCCTGCTTCTTTCTTCTCCTCCCTTCCTCCCCCTCCACTTTCCTCTCCCACTCCTCCTCCTCCGATCAAAATATTTCCTTCCTGTATTGCTGTTTCCTTCCTGTGCTGCTGTCAGGTAGCAATATAAGGCCACCGCTGTGTATCTGAGGGTTATTTTCTACTTCACTACCAATGAGCGACTATTGAAAGTTGCTGCATGAACTTCAAATTTCTGATTGTATCAGCAGTTAACTCTTCATAGATTTTATTTTAAAATTTGTTTCAATTTTGTCATGTTTGAAGGAAACAATTAATTTTGCATATTTTCCATCGCTTTTTCTAGTATCCAGTACTGTCTGATGACGTAACTAATAACTAATAACGATGTGAATAACAAACAACCGTAATAGCAATCGGTACGGGAATCACTAAGCATATGCGTAGCTGATAAAATTCAACGTGAAGTGGTCGATTTCGGTGCTATTTCACATTTGAAAATGTTATGGTATATGACACATTACAGTTTTTTCGCAGAACAAGGAGTTTTTTTTAAATTGATGACTCATGATGGTAGAGTATCATTTTAAGCGGTGATTCAACTTTTTTCTGATTTAACCTTCAGCAATAATACTTTCGATTTTGAGATTGTTTTACGCACATATACCGGACAGTTTACCTGAAAAATAACTGGACAGTCCTAGAAGAAATAACAAATACATAAATATTCGTTAGTAAACAACATTTGTGTCAGTCTATGTCTCCGAGAAGATTTGCTTAAAGTCGGTAACAATTTTTCCTAAGTATTGCATCTAGTAAAATTTATGTCACATCAAATAGCAGATTTCAGGATTAATTTGAATAGTAGTCACACACATATATATCGGAAAGTGAAATTATATGATACCAGAAAAATCAAGGGAAGAGTGGGTGGATAATATATCGTAAAGGATCTCTCTAATTTCTGAAGAAATCGAATTCCTTCCACACTAAGATTATAGCAATTCTTTTTTTTTTCCTTTTTTAGATAAGACTCGAGTTTGTTATACTAAGTGATTAGTGAATGAATCATAACGCTTTCATTTTATTTCTTGCTAAACTAGGTAGGGCATGGGGACTTTTACAGACAATTTTTTGGAATTTAAACTTTTGAAGAGGTTTAGAAGCTTAGGAAAATGAAATTCTTATTTTGCATTCTGAAAAGAACGGACGAAATTGTCATAAATAATGTGTTCATCAAAAGCATAATTCGATATTCTTTTAGAATCATTGATTGCATAAACAAATGCATTACATAGCTTTCTTGACTTGTTTTTCTAGTTCATTCTTCCCAGTAGTCAATACCACGAAGAAATTAAATCACAAAGGATGATTACTGAGACCAAAAAGTGATTACGTGATAATGGCAATTATGAGTGATAGTGATAAGCATAAATATACTAGTGTAGAGATGATATCATTCTTCCAATGATCAAACTTCCCAACTAGAAGCAAAAATCGCTCTCAAAATATAATACTAAACAAATCATTTTAGCATTTGATAGTTTCGAATCGTATTCTTTAATCTTAAGTCTAGAATGCTTTGAAACATTGTTATGCTTAGAACAATTGGCTGAAGCATTAACTAACCTTAGAATAGGATGATCTTTATATGAATATCGCGAAAGTCTATAATTAAGCCTGAAAATAGTAACTAGCAATGGGAGACTACATTTTCAATATGAATAAGTACTTGTTTTTGTTTCATCCTTCCAAATAATAACGTCAACGTAAAATACATGAAAAAAAAAGTTGTTTAGAGTGTAAATGAGTAATTGTAATTAATCGATATGCCATCAGTGGTTTTCATGTTCGATGATACTAGTTTACTATAATTATTAGTAACTGCCTGAAATAGTTGTCTGCGTATTGTTATTATCTTTTTAAACATCATTCCTCAACTTTGTTCACTACTGTCACACTCCATTTTCTTCATTTTCTATTGTCGAATTAGGCATGCAACGTCTGCAACTTTCCTTTTCTTTTATATCAGAATTTAAGCATAAATCCGTTGCAGTTTAGGGAAAGTTAGTGAGAAATTCTAGAAATTTACTCTTCTGTCTTGAATTGTATCCTCGAATTCAGATAGAAAAATTGAGGGTCAAAAGGTAATCGAAAGAAAGAAGTGAAATGATGGATTTAATATCGATCGAATCTTTGTCATGGAACTTATTTCTTTCAACCGTTTTTTAATGCTACTCCTAGATTACTATCTATTTCTAGTAAATATCTTAAGTCTTACTGAGTTTACTTTTAAACTAGATTAAAAAAAAAAACATTTGGCCAAATGAACTTTTACCGAAATATGATGAAATTTTGCTGATCTTTAGAAAATAAGCTTGCATTAAATTAAAAAAAAAAGATTGATATCTTTTGAAATTTTATAGTGCAATCGTAAAAAATTTTGAAAGTTTTAGCACTTAGTGATGAAAGTGATGAAATAGTTGCCTTACGATTTAATTAATGATAAAAATATTACCATGTAATAATTTAATCACAAAAACATTAGCATTCAATGAGTTACATTGACTTCTACTTGCACAAAAAATGAGTGTACCTGCAATTGATAGAATTCTTTTTCTTCTTTTGAATGTGTTTAACATCGTAATTAACAAGATCAACTGAAATCTTTATTTGAGATTTTTTGCTTTCTAATTCATTTAAATAAAAAAAGAATATTCCTCAAACTGACAAAAAGAGAAGCCAAGATACTTGACAGTACACGTAAGCTATTACGTTTAACCTACGCAACTTATATTGATGATGACTGACAATATCGATAAATTTTTCATTGTTTACTCATCTGAAGAATCAGTGATTTTTAATTTAACACTGTTAATGACTTAATGTACTCGACACAAGAATCATTCTCTTCAAAGTATTAGGGCTTATAGTCTCCTCGAGAGTCATCGTAGTGAAAGGTTATTTGAAGATGCCATGCGATAGGCGGAGAGGGAGATGCATAGGTGGTGGTACCAGAGAATGTGCTGTAAACAATGACACTTTTGTTATGTCACCATGCGCTGCTATTCAATGCTTATTGTCTCGAAGACGTCATCAAGGCTAATCATTCTAATTGGTACTGTCTGTATGAAAATATTTAGTTTCTCTGCAGGTTTAGAAGTCGAACATATGCTAATTTACAAATTCCAGTTTTAAATTCCCTAGGGTTTTCAGTTTTTTGACTTCATTCTTTCTCTTTTATATTTTGAAAAGATTAATATGAAGAAGACGGAATATTCGAAAATCATCATTTTCAAATTCGAAAATTTATTAAAACATTCGTAATTATCATCAAAAAATATAAAGTTCAATGTTGACTTAAAATTTCATAAATTTCAGATTTTATATTGAACCAAGATCAACACTGCAAGAAAAATGGGTGACATTAGCCTGAACACTCGTTATTTGAGCAGCAACCGTGGTATTATCAAAATTGTGCAGATCGTTCTCGGTTTCGTTATCTGTTCTCTCCTTTGCACTTCATGGTATTTTATGCAATCAAATTAATTTTAAAGAAATTAATTTCAAAGAATAATTTTAAATGATTTTAAAGATAAATTTTAAAGCAGAACATAACAGCAAATTTAAGAATAAAAAACCCACTGACTGAT